TAACTGTTTTTCTGTGAGTCTGTCTGTTCAGTTTATTTCTTGGTTCATGTCCTGGATCCTGACGGCCAGTGGAAAGAGATTTTGTGTCTGTCTCGTCTCCTAATCGTCCACTGTTCCTCCCCTGCTGAGTCCTCTGAGTTTTTGGCTCAATATGTGGGGAGGTTCAGTTTTTATCCAATCCGAGGTGGAGACCAGTTTAAAGGTCCTGCATCAAGTTCTGGTCCCACGTCCTGTCTTGGCTACCCTCTTCCACTGAGACCCTGTCAGACTCTGAACCCTCCTGGGAGCCTGTCGATGCCTGGAAGTCTGGATCCTGCCTCCTGTTTCTGTTCCTGCCTGATCTGGATCCTGTCCCTGTCTGTTCCTGTCTGTTGTGGATCCCTGACCAGCATGTCCTCTGGGACTGCAGCTCTTGGGGACATTCTAGGACTGGACTGTTAAACCAGGTAAGTGGCCAACTCAGATAATCATCTTCTGTCAGATGATCGTGGTCACTTACCTGTGTTTCTCCTGCAGAGTGTCTGTGATTGGGCGGTGCCCTGGTCCCCATCCTGCAGTGTCCAAGAGCCACAGCTCCACTTTAGTTTTTGTTAATTTAATAAACCTTTTTGAACTTTCCTACTGAGTGTCTCTCCTTGAATACTGGGTCCATCTGTCCTCGGTTCCTGACACAGCTAAATTTAAATAATTCAGACTTCAAAAACTTACAGGGACATAATGATGAAGACCAGAGATAAATGGATTGACAAGGTTCAAAATTTGCATGTTCAGTTCTGAGGCACAATATCTTTATCCCATTTTTCCATTTAACCTGGAGATGTAAACAGATATATTTATGTTCTTCAGAACTGAAAGACATATTTGGTCCCAGCTCTGCAGCTTGCAGCATCCCTTAACATGGATATGTTTCAGAAAGCCACACCACACATGCCTCTAATGCTCTGAATGCAGCCACTATAAATACGCCTTAGATGAGCAGAAAAAAGAAAGCGCTCGTATGAAATTCCTCCCCTACATAGAGCGACTGCCTTAATGTGATTCCAGTTCGATCTCCCACTGCTGAAGGAACACTAGAGAAGCCTATATATACTCCTGCCGTGTGACTCCAGACACTATGTTGTGAATTACTACATAATAGAAATGTCTGAGGGAGCAAGCATGTGGTCCACTCCACTTAGAGCTCAGTGACATGAGGGGATGAAAACCTCCTAAAGAATAGTTTTAATATGAGACTATCGACTCAAAGGCAAGTTTGTGTAATACTTTACTTAATGTGGTTTTGCTGAGCAATATCAAGTGAAATAAATTTACAAGCAGGGGCTTTGACTGTGCGGTTTTGCAAAAAAATTTATTTGAAAGGTTAGCTTGGCTTTAATGAAGCGAATCTTTAAATCCAGACAGGAAATGAGGAGCAATCATTGCAGTTAAGGAGACTTCGGTTTGGTCAGATGCATACTTAGAGATGTACGCTCAAAGTGCTGTAAAAAATGAATTTCCTTGATTGTAAATTTCACTTTTTTATTAACT